TGTTGACAATTCCTCCTAACTTTGTGTCCTCATCAAGTTAGATTTGTACACTCCTGCCTTTTGTACCAAGCTCAATAATTAAATTATTAAACCAGGGAGGTCCTGAGACCTACCTTGGAGGAAATCCACCACTAGCATCCCTCTAGCCTGTTATTTCATTTCACCTTTCAGTACCATTCACTGCCATCTTTCTTTTTGACCATTTCTTCCTTATAATTCCTCTGCTAAACCACATCTTCTCCAATTCACCTAGTAGTTTTTCATGGCATCACATCAGATCCTTTACTGATGTCCAGGTAGATGAGATCTATTGCACTTCTTTTGTCTAAAATAGTGGTGCCCAACCTCCCCCTTGCTCCAACCCTTCTACAGGCCACATGGGTGGTGCCAGGTCTATCTGCAGTCCAGATGGTGGGCTTGATCCAGCATGTGGGGCAGGCATAGTGGAGGCCTGGTGTGCCCACATAAAATGGCCTGGCCCCAATCTGTCCATGCACAGCTGGTAAGGGAGTGGTCGGGCCCTGATCCAGCTGCATGGCAGTGGCCCTGGGTGGGTACGGATCTGGCTGCACAGCACTTAATACTTTGGTAGCAGGGTAGGACTGGCAGTATTAATTGCCTGCTTCCCCAACACCAAATTTCCTGACTTGTGGAGATCCCTGCGAGCCAGATGGCATGGCTCTACAGTCTAGATTTGTCCCATGGGTCAGGGATTGAGCACCCCAATCTGAAAAGTCTTTTTTTTAATCAGAGAAAGTCTATTCTGGCAGGATGTCTCTTTGGTACATCCATGTTGTATTTTATCCCCTTTTTAATTCCTATCCAAACCTTTGATTTTCTTCAAAATATGTCCTAAAGCCTTGCATGTTTCTTTCGTCAGACTAACATGCCTGTATTAGTCCAGATCACTTTTTACCCATTTTTTAAATGTATGCGCTATGTTCTCTATTCTTCAATTTGGTAGATTCATTAACAGTACTCACTATTGGACCTGGGAGTTCATGGGCCATTTCTTTCAGAATTCTGGGATGGAGAATTACACAGGGAATCATTCCTCTTCCTAGAGTATTACATCTTTCTATCATCAATATTCTACCATTGCAAATTACACATAGAGGTCATCAGTAAAAAGCAGCAGTGATTTTTACATGGTACTGTTGCACTTGAGAATAAAACACAGAGAAAGCTTAGTTTCTCCAAAGCATTTCAAGGTGACTGGGTGTCTAGATTAAGCTGGCGTCATACAAAATGTTTCCACCAATTCAGTGAATTAGGTCAGAACAGATACTGCGTTCTTGGAAAGTTAACCGAATGGAGCAGTTCTCAGTGTGTCTGTGGGAGGAATGTAGCTATCTTCCTTTGTTAGGTGGCAGCAGCTTTCTCAGAATAATAGCTATTTCCCAGAACTGCTGTACGTTTTAAGCACTCTTATTGTGTTTCAGGTGTGCATTAGAGAGGCTGATCCATGATGCTGCAATATTACTGTAATTTTCTCAAAACATGTAAATGAAAGCTCACTGTGAGAGTGTGCAAACCAAATGGCTTTGTTTTTTCAGTCACAACCTGAAGTGCTTTTTTTGTACCATGGCTTCCCTATGGTGTAAAACAGGGGTGTCAATCTCATCTGGCCCTGTGGGCTGGATGAGTGGTGCAGGGCTGGTCCACAGGCGAGTTCAGGCCAGCGGACCCCCACCCACCCACATGCCCAATCCAGAACACATGGCACCTGCCTGGGCTGGTCTGAGACACTGGTCTGAGCAGGCGCTGCATGCTGTGCAGCCTGGCGCGCAGTCCCAGCAAGCACCGTGGGTGGCACACATCGCAGGCACTGAGCATAGGGCTGGTGTAGTGCAGCAGGGTCTGGATTATGGGGCTGCACAGGCCACATCCAGCCTGAAGGCCATATGTTTGACATCCACGGTGTAAAAAAACCTAAATATCTTGGCTTTTCCATGTTACTTGTTGGTTAAGATGAGGCCACAAGTGGAGGTGGTTTACTACACACAGATTGGCTGTAGCTGTCAGTGCTATCCCAGGTTTTGATAATCACTGATTGTGATGAAATTTAGCATATGGGATCTAAAACAACAGTTGGTGTTGCATAAGAGATGTCAGACACTTGGTACAATACTGTAAGCTTTGGTACCTATAAGTAATCCTTGTGTTAATAGAGGTAGGATCAGACTCAGAGTGATTTCACAGGTTACCTTTAAACTGTTATAAATGCACTTAAAACAGGAGCATTCTCCCATTAAAGGTTGTTAACCCATGCTAAGTACCCTCTAAATGTTGTAAAGTGATGCCGGGTCAAGCATGGGTTCTTCAATCCATTTTACCCAGGTTGTTCCAGGGTATCGTTAGTCTGCTCTGGGGAGATAAAACGCTCTATTTTGATTTTTCCAGCATCCCAAGATGCACCATCCCCAGCCCTTCCCACTCCTTTGCTCCTTGGGCAGACTTTCAATCCTGAACTCTACTGTCCAGGGGGTGGTGTTGGCCGCTCCTACTCCCCAGGGTGTGCGATCCCAGCACACCTTGATTGCTCTGAGCACCCAGGTACAGCTCATCAGTTTGCTGCTTGCCAAGGAAGGGATTTGAATTCCCTCTGCATTCAGCTGGTTGGCTGCTGATACAAGGGGAGTGGTTAAAAATCTAATTAACTGCTAATGAGCATAGGCAATTGATGTCCAGCCCTAGGCAACCATCTCCATCCTCACCTATCCCGCCTCTCCCTGCTGCTACTGGCCACTGTGCTATGACTCAGTTTCCCCTTCCCCATGGTATTCAGTTGAACTGAACTGCCATTCATTTGAAATGGCACTGCCAGCACCTCTCTTACCCAACCCATGCAGTGAGCCTGCTGGGTCTCAGCTCTACCCTGATGTGATAAATAAACTAACTCTCCCCTGACCCAATTCAGTGAAACATATGCAAAAATTTGGTCCTTTTTATTTTAATTCATTTAACTTCTTTATTTTTGCTTCTTCCCTCTTGCCTGTTCACTTCATATAGTTTTTTTTCCCCCAAGATTATTCCACTCATAGCTCCAGCTGGCTCCTGCTTGCTGCACAGTGAGGGAAGCCACAGCCCCTATGGTAGTTTCTCCACCTCCAAACTACAGGCCAACCTACCCCAGAGAAGGGATAGGGTTTTGGCTTCTGTCCACATCCCTGCTCACCAGGCCCTCTAGTGCCAAGTCACAGTTGTGCAGGTCTGAGATGGCATTAAGTCTTAACCCAGGAGTGGGCAACTGTTTGGGTCGGAGGGCCACTAAAGGAGTTTTGGTGAGTTGTCGTGGGCTGGGCCAGCCCCCTGTCCCCACCCCACCGCGCTGGGTCAGCATCCTGCCCACAACAGCTCACCAAAACTCCATGAGTGGCTCTGCTCTGTGTTTGCCTGGGTGGGTAGCAGCATCCAAGACTGGGTGGGTGGGCAGGGCCAGGGTGAGGTTGGGATTTCTGGGTGGTGACAGTGCAGGGCTGGGGCCCAGGGCAAAGCCGTGATCTTCTCCCCACATGCCTCTGCGATGGACACTAGTTCTGCAGGTGGGGGTGTTTGGGGAGCAGATTGCAGGGCCCCTGCACCGTGCTATCACCACCCAGCAATCCCATGGTTTCCACTGAGACTGATTAGGAACAGCACAGGCAGGCAGGGTGTGCAGCTAGGCGGATTGGATGGGGTCGCAGGTAAGTGGGTATCAGTATCTGGGAGCAGGACAGGTGGGCAAGGCTGGAGCCAGGGCCAGGGTCAGAGCCAAAGCAGGGATGTGCAAATGGTAGCTCACGGTTTTGCCCTGGGCCTCAGTGCTGCGTGGTCACCGCCCCATGATCCCGATCCTAGCAGGAGCCTCACCCACGGCACCATCCCATCTACCTAGCCAAGCATGCCCTGCCCATGCGGGTCTTAGGTTGGTCTCCATGGAGGCCCCACCCACTCCTCTGTCTGGACAGGGGTGCCTGTGCAGTGGGGTTGGGTCTGGTGGTGGCTGCTGCATCCAGAAGGAGATGCCACTGCCAGGAAGTGAGTCAGGCCACTGCAGTGCCCTGCCCACCTTGTACCTGGGGTCCATGGGACTGGCCACATGGGCTGTGGCCTGTGCTGCCCCTCGTGCCTGGGCCAGGTGGGTCTGATTACCAGGGGTAGTAATTGTCAGAAAGTTTTACCTGACTGAGCTGATGTCTACCGCTAGTTATGCTACTGTAACGTCCTGTCCCTTGGTGCTTTCAAAACAGTTCTTTGCGGGCCATGTGCATTGCGCTTTGATGTGTCTGGCTAGAATCTGCCAACCTGAACTAACTTAAGCGACTTTAAATCTGGACGATTCTTTAATCTGTACTTTGCCTTTTATTGATTGTGGGGGGGGAGGAAGGGGGAGGTGAGGAGGCAATCCTTTCTGCAATATGCTAATGGATTGTTTCTGAGGTGCATCATCACATTTACTGTTTACTGTTCAGGTGGTCGGTTGTATTGTTGAAAACGTTTGAGTTGAGAATGCTTTTCAAACATGCTGTTTCATAATTTTTGGCTTATCTTATTGTATACGAAGTGCACGAATACGATTTGTAGTAAGAGGTTCATTCCAACAATAGATGCATAAAATTATACGATTGTTCCCATCGATCTGTGTTCTAGCACAATTTCCCATCTGATATTATAATTCATACTTTTGACCACTTGAAAATTAGCCAGATGTCTGTAGTGCCATTGTCTTTTTCAGCTCTGCATGTATCTACTTCTGAATTCATTTTTTCTCTTATTGCATGTTGCCTTATTATTGTTGCTACATAGCATGAGAAATTCACATGAAAGAAAATGAACTGGGGCCTATGGCTAGTCAGGAAGCCGGCCCTATGAACAAAAGAGCTCTCTGGTAACTTATGAACGATATAACGGCAACTTTACCTGTACATTTAACCTATAAAATCTTAGAGCAAGCCAGTATGCTTAATGCACAATATATGACAAAATTTTTGGTGACTTTGTTTTCCTTTCTTTCTCAGTGGAAACCATATTTTCCAGGGTCTGGCAGCTGGAATAGCAGTAAATGAGAATGGAAGAGGCCAAATAATAGGTATGAAAACACCTTTGTTGTGCATAATAGGCAATACTTCTTAATGAACTTTGGGCTTCTAAGTGTTATTTCACTGCATCTCTGTTGCCAAGGTGTTTCTTTCATAATCTCAGTTGGTGCAGTTCTTAGTTGATATAATTTCACAGGAGTCCACCTTATAACTGGCTCTCAGTCAATATAGCAGTAAAGCAGGCTGCGAACTGGTGCGTTCTATGCCATAGCTGAAATTGTCCTCCTCTTGTCTCATACACTGTTGTCTGTGGAGCTGAGGTAGGGAATCAGTGTACAATGTGAACTGTATTTTACTCCCATAATTTTTGGTTAGTAGTGAGGGCCAGTTTACTTAATGTTATTCTCCTTCATTGGCATCACAGAGTGGTTTCCCTAGAAGTCACATATATGAGTGAAGGAAGGACATTAATTTTGTAGAACTGGTGATAATATTAAGTGCAATTAAGCTGTTGAATACATCGCTGCCCTCCATTTGGAATTACAGGCAGAAGCCTGGAGCTGTGCTTAGTTATACTAATTGAATTTTTTGTCATTACATAGGACTAGATTATCATTGTCACCCTATTTTCCACCAAAACAGTAAATACAGGCTCTCTGACATTCATTTAAACAAATACATATTTTTCCAAAAAATAATAATCGCCATCAAGAGAAGGTGAATTATTAATGTACACGCAGCCTCAAAAGATGGTTGTAGTGTGGCACATATAACACTTAAGTTCATTCTTTTTTTGTTCTAAGCCTTTCTGGAGAACAATAATCTGTCCTACTTTTGCTTTTCTTGTGTTTCCTTTTTCTGTGCCATGTCTATGTCATGCTAGGCCAGCACCCTTATGTGATGCGGTAAAGAATAGTTTGAGTGAATAGAATAGTATTCATGAGAGAAATTTTGTTATCCAGCTGTGTAAATGGCCTTTTTTATATTTATGCACGGTTTGCAACTCTGTTACTCTTGCGGTGTGGAGAGGTAGGTATATATGTGTATATTGTCATGTGCAGTAAGCTACACATTGGCCAGGCAGGTACACAGCTCTGTACATACACTCAGAGCACACACCCAAGTCACAAAATTGTTGCCAGACAAAAATAAAAGGAGGGAGACATCCTGTTTGTGATCCAGCTTAAATAGTTGAATAGTTCAGGTACTTCCCAGGAAGTGGAAAACCTGGTTTTAGGCCCCTGTTATCCACCAGGGGGCTTGAATATGCATCTTTTTGACCTTTGCATGCTAATCAGCAAGCCATAGGTCAAGCACTATTCAGTCTGTCTCCCTCCTTCCTTTTAATGCTGGACCTAAAGGCAACCAGGATAGGGCCAGGAGGAAAAGAACAAGCTGGAGGGTGTGTGGTTCAGTGAGATGGCTGCTCCTTAGGGAGGGAGCAAGTTCTGCACCCTCGCTCCTACTAGGAAAAAAAGGTCCCCTACTGCAGTGCTAAATAACAGGTGCAGTGGCTTAGCGTCAAAAGCAGCACTGGAGAAAAGCCTGGAGAATGCTTGACCTGCAAAGTCAAGGAGTTGTAGGTTTAGGCCTCCTCTGGGCAAGGAGTGCCTAGAACCTGGAGTTTTTGGTTCGTGGGTGAGTGCTCTAGCTACTCAGCTGTCAAGCTCTTCTCATTTTTTTCCAGGACTTATACTCAAGTCAGTGTATATGTAGCTGTGTATGTACCTGGCTAGTTCCTACTCTCCTGTGCATCCTCAGCTTATGAATACAGACTTATACATAAGTCCATGCGGTAGTGATATAGAACTGCAAACTGTGCCTAGGTGCCAAAAGTGCTACTTGCATGACTGGGTAAGGTGCACAAAGGTTATAGAATTCCTCCTTTAGTATCCAGTCTTGCAACCCCAGTAAAAATTTCACTGCCTTCACCTGCAGGAAATTCAGGCCATTTGTATTGGATAAAAGAAGAGAAGAAATTGCTAGCCTAGAACCAATGGTGTTGGAAGTCCTGGCCTCCCTTAAGTCAGTCAAAATTATGCCACTGTCTTTAGGGGAGCCAGGACTTCACCAGATTTGTTCTGCATTACTCTCCCAGCTCTGCCACTGACACGGGTCTGTGCAGAGTGGTGTTTGCCTGCACCATTTACACACGTTCCCAAGGGTGGTCTGGTTTTCCTTGTGCTCCTGTTCCAAACAAGCATTTTGTACTGCTTTTCAGGAAGAGCCTAGAGTTCTCCAGCACTAAATGTGACTGTAAAATGCCTGCTTTTTAGCAGCTAAACCCCCTGGTGTATGGGCTGTGCTTGTGAATTGGATGCAGTCACTGTCTTTTTAGTGACCTTCTCTGGTAATGTTCCCTCTGTTCTATGTCAGAAAACGTCATTCGGGAGAATCAGTGGGGCGGGGCAGACATCCGGCGTGGCGGCGACCCCGTGCTGAAGAACAACCTGATCTGCTGCGGTTACTCAGATGGAGTAGTGGTGGGAGAGCGTGGGAAGGGGCTTATCGAGGGAAACACCATTTATGGTAAGAAGCTAGAAATATGGGGAATGTGATGGAATCTTCTCCACTTCCTTCCCTGAGCTTCCCTGTCCCCTGCTGCTTTTGGCTTAGTCAGCCATCCACTGTTGGCTTCTGTGCTAAGCAAAGCCAGTGGAGGCTGGCTAGTAATTAATTCTAGTTCCTTGCTTCTCTGCCTCAGGACAGGGAAGAGCAGCTGGGAGGCTACTCTGATGCCAACTGTGTATGGAGATTGTGGCCCAGCTGGAGGTAGCTACTCCATCTGCTGCTGTCTATCTCTGACCCAGCCCCCACACAAGGTTGGGGGTTTCCAACGGAGGAGATACAGGTGTCAGCTCTAGAATTTGTGTATTCCTGGACTCTTCTTCACTGCATTCAGGAGACTGCAACAAGTCTTCTATCCCTTTGTGCAGCCTTGGGACCCTGAAGTCAGGCATGAAGTTGGTAGAAAATCCACCCCAATCTATACGATTGTGTGTCCATGTGATAGAGGTAGGAGTGCACTGCAGAAGATTCAAAACAGCTCCCAATGGTTGTATCTTCACTTACACTGATGCTGTGGCACTCATCTGTCACGCTTTGGGAAAGTTTGGGGAAAGACCCTGACTGCATAGAGCTGAGAGCGGTAGGACAGATGGCCAGCAGTGGCCTCATTCAGTCCAAGCCAGGGGATGTCTTGGAACAAGTGTCTTTAGAGATCTGTAACATGACATACAAATTCATAGGAGAGGAAGGGAAAACTCAGCTAAGTACAGCATCCCCAACCCTGTCTGAAAGAAAAGGGAGAGAGTATCTTAAGAGCTGGCTTGTGAGGCTTGTTTACACAGAAACATCACAGCAGTGACTGAGGGTATGCAGTCATCATGCCCCAGCATGTCTGGGGAGAGGAACACCTCTGCCCACCTGCTCCTGCTTGCATGCACCAAATCTAGAAGAGAGACTCGTCTGGTGGTGCCCCCTGAAGTAAGCCAGATACTGAGGTTTAAAAGGCAGTCATGGGGGGGACTGCCAGGATGGCCTCACTGCTCCGTGTTTGAGTGCTGTGCTTGGGGCAGTGCAGGGACCTCCCTCCTACGTGGAATAGATGCACTCTGAAACCTTGCTCCAGCAGATCAAAATGAAAATGGCTCATGGGCCACTTTGCTGAAGGCCCTTCTGTACATTGCAAGGAAAGGCGCAGAATGTACATGTCCCATATTCACATCTGTGGGAGCCCCGCTGTTGATTTCCACGGCTTTGGATCAGTCCTTAAGGAAGAGGCAAGCAAGGATACAGCAGAGTGAAAGATGCATCTAAGAGGAGGAAAAAGATGCCAAGTCCCTAGGTAGAGGTCAGTGAAAGGGAGGGAAGTGCCTGCTCTGCAGGAGGGAAAGGGAGCACTGGTCTGGCTTTTGGCACATAAGATGAAGCAAAGGTAGTAGTTGGATGTGTGTGTCGTGTGAGGTTGCTTTCATTAGATCTCTCAGTGGAATTAGCCTTCAAACACAACAATGTGTTTGTGCTTGTGTGTGTGTGAGAGAGAAAGAGAGAGAACATCATGCTGGGCTTGACCTGATAGCTGTCCTAGATCAGAGTTTATGTGACAGTGCAGAAAAGCTGTAGGGATAAGGGACTGGCTTAGACCTGGGCTAATCCCCTGGTTTATGTGCAAACAGAATTTGGACTCCAGCCTGTTGGCTTCCTTCCTAATGCATTTTAACATGCGACTGTTTTAGCCAGCAAGCACTGTGTCTGATAGGATCCTGCAGAACCCTAAATCCTGAGCCTGCTACAGTGTGAGAGCTCTCAACTCCTGGGACATCCAAGGGGTGGAGGCCACTCTGTCCTGCCCAGAGCTGTGCCCTAAGTCTTAAAGCTGTTCTGGTACTGGGAATCCAGGAGAAGCCTGAACTGAGGGGGCCCTGTGGCCTTTGGCTGCCCAGTGCTGTCACTAGCTAGGCATGGAGGTGCTGGGCCAGCTCACACCCTGCACTGGAATTGCATGAGACCCAGGTCTCACAGGTGCTGGCAAAAGTTAAGCCACACCAAAGGTGCTTCACCTGCATGTATACTGAGTATCTCTTAACAAGAGGCACTTTGGGTCTGACCTCTGCAATGTAGGAGCAGCAGCTATCATTCAGCTTTGTTCCTTGTGCACTTTGGCCCGCTGCCAATTCCACAACCCATCCCCGTCTCAGCTCATCAGCTTCCCACATGCTCCCCTTGTTTTTCCAGGGTTGCGTATTGTGCTGCGGGCCCATACAGCAGACTGTGAAGAAGATGCAGAGACCTTGGCAGCAACATAGTTTCAACTTTCTCTGCAGCCATAGCCAGCCTGGACCTGGACCCTGGCTTAGGGCAAACTTGGGGAGCATGTGGGGCCATCCTCACTGTCATTATCTGCCCCCAGCTCTCTGAGACCCTTTCTGGGCCAGTTCTCCAGTGGGGAACTGAGACACGTCATGATCTAGTGGCTTACCCAGAGAGCTGGAAACAAAAACCCAGATCTCCACAGCCCTAATGCAGTGCATTAACCACAAGGCTAAGGTCATGTGTGAAGAAGACTCCAAATTCACTGCCTCCAGCTCCCAAATACTTAGGTTAGAAATTCAGGTTCTGATTTAGTTATCTTAGTCCCTCTAAAATTAGATGCTGCAAAGAAATGTGAGACTGCGCTGGTGATCAGGTCTGCAAGGGGAGGTACCCTTTTTGTTGTGGGTCTCAACATCCAGAGTTGCTCCCAAATCCTCCTTTTACTGAACTGTTGGGGCTCCTGACTCTGGCCATGAAGCATCTAGAGCATCAGCAGGGGCCCTTTGCACCACATGGCATTGCCCTTAGGCTTGGCAGTGCTCCTCCAGGGCCACTGGATCATCCCTTGTAAAAGCAACTACAGTGAGGTAGTGCCTACGCCTTCCTCACAATCTGCCAATGTGCATGTTCCACGTCGTAGCCCACTGTAGTGAGGAGAAGGCAGAGATTGTGTGCTGGAGCCGGGGACTTAAATATCTGTGCTGGTTGGTCCTGCCTTTGGAAGCCTCCCTTTCAGGATGTGTGTCTGTTCAAAGGTAGCAGCAAATCACCAAGTGAGAGAAGCACCACTGAGGTGTGTCCTCTCCCATCTTGGCTGCATCCCTGCAAGGTTATTACAGCAGTATATTTTATTGTGTCTTTCTACTGCCATTGGTTTGGTATTACTTGATTTACAAAGGGACTCGCCCCCACCCCATTAGCTTGACCGTGTATAATGAGGGGAACGGAGGGGAGCAATGTTTCGGCAGGGGGTGGTTGGGGGGGGGGCAGGAATAAATCACCTGTGTCTTCAGAACATGTAAGGAAGCCCTTGCATAAAGGCCAGTGGGAGACATCTTTGCACATGCATAAATATCTGTGTGGAAGGAACAGAGTTGGTACAAGGCAGGAGATGGCATGGATGACCCTAGGTGGGAGCAGCTGGGTAGCTCTACTGTCCTAGGGCATACCCCAGCCAGGGCAATGCCCAGAGATCATTAGGATGTGGATTACAGAACACTTGTGACAGCACATCTGCACTAAGGCAAAAGGGAGTTATCGCTGTTGGTATTAGGAGAGCCGTTGGAAGCCCTAGTTGACCCTGTCAGGCTAGACAGTGAGAGCACTGAAATTAGTGGGAGCAGGCACCAAACTCTCTTCTAAAAATCTGGCCTCAAAGATGCACATGTTGCAGGGAAGCCCCAGGGCCTGAACACATGTAGCAAAGAAGTGGTGGCAGAAGGAGAGGGCCTTAATTCAGCTCTAGGGATAGCCCATGGCTGCCCACGGTCATCCCACATACTGGCAGGAGGTCCCGGCATGGGAGCCATCACTTCTGAGTTCCAGTCCAGTTGGCATCAGCTTCCCCCGAATCCTCCTTGGCTCTGTAGTACAAGTGTACATGGTAAACTCTTCAGGACAGGGACAGTAAGTCTATGCAGTGCCCAGTGCAATGGGGCCCCAGTCTTGACTGGGGTTTGTGGGTTGTGCTACAGTGCAGGTCATGACCGTGGGGTTGCTTTCATTCTGCAGGCAACAAGGGCTGTGGTGTGTGGATAATGGCATCCAGTCTCCCTCACATCACCAACAACCAAATTGGGCACAACAGCATCTATGGGGTGGCAGTGTTTTGCCGCAAAGATGATGCCAGTGACTATCTTGCCAACCAAGGAGGCAATGAGAGCTTCAACGATGAGGGGGAAGCTGCCATCTGGGAGAATGACCTGGACAGTGAGGATGAGCGCTTTGCCTCCCGACGGCTCATCAGTGTGGCACTGGTAGAGTCAAACAGCATCAACCACAATGGAGGTGAGTATGGTGGGCTCTGATGCTAGACCTGTCTCTACTATGCTAGAGGCACAGACCAGAGGCCAAATAAGTGCTCATGACATTCCACAAAAGCAAAGATGTGATGCAATCCATTGCTTTTTACCCCAGTTCGTGTACTAGGTCAAACTTGTTCATGGTCCTTCACAAAACAGTCCAGGTAAGATGGAAGAGAGTGATGGCAAATGGCTGTAGCACTCTGGTCCACCATACAGAAAAGACAGGTTCAAACTCCAAACTGGAATGGCTGGATGTTGCCCAATTCTGCAGCCATTTTGTGACATCTACCAGGCTTCATCCCTGGACATGTACCCATTTCAACCACTCTGTGTCGAGCTCTGATACTCCCCTGAAAGGGTGGAGTGTGGGAAAGGAAGGGGTGGCTGGCACACCTTTTGCTCTGGCTCCAGACGTCAGCTGAATAACTTACAAAGGGCATCGTAAGTGGGTAAAAGCGCTACCTTGCAGCTCCTCTGTGTTGCAGTGTAGTTGGGGAGGCCAGTGGGATTGCCAGACTGTGAGGAACACAGAAAAGACAAACCTGATCACCCTTTAGACTGAGTGTAGAGGGCATCATTGTGTCTGTTCAAACCCAGAACTTAAGATCAGGGTGCTCCTCCCTAGCACATAGGATGTAGACTTCAGTGGGAGTTACAAACTTACCCTGAGGGGAAAACAGAGCCAAGGGCACAAAGCAATGAAAAGGGAAGAGAAGGAAAAGGCCACACAGTTCCTTATGAACCTTAACCCCTGAGTTTAATACATTTCTAGTTGCCAGTGAGGATGCCCAGAGGAAGGACTACACGTCCCAAGCCCTTCTCTTCCCTTCTGTGACTCTTGCTTCCTACACAGCAAGGAGGGAAAATTCAAAGGTTGTAACTGTAAAAGCATTAACGTGTCACCAATGTCAGTGTGTTTTATTCCCCTGCTGCAGCCTTATCTTTCACGCATGTAATGCCTCCCATCCCAGAAGATCAGACAGCAGATGCTTCGTGGGCTAAATCTGGCTTGGTATTACACTAGGACAGGGGTGCTCAACACCTGGTCCACAGGCCAGATCCAGCTTGTGGTGCCGTGTCATCCACAGGGCCCCCCACAGGTCTGGAAATTTGGTGGCGAGGCAGCAATGGTGTCACTTCCCTGCTGCCAAATTTCTGGCTCCATGGAGAGCTCCAGGCCCTGCATGCTGAATAGGGTGCCCTCTCCCAGTGCACAGGGTTGGGTGGGGACAGTGCTGGGCCCCAGCACCCAATCCCTGTGTGGGAGGCCTGGAGGGGATGGTGCTGGGCCCTCAAGATCAAATTCTGGGGTGCATGGGATGGAGAGGGGGTGGTGCTGTTCCTTCAGAATCAATCCTGGTACATAGGGCAGGGAGGGGGAGTACCAGGCTCCAAATTCTGATCTAGCCTGGCCTGACCACTCATGTGGCCCATGGAGCCAAAATGTTGAGCACCCATGCACTGGGGCAGTGGCACTGGTGTTATTAGCATTGCAGCAGTATAGGCTGAGCAGAATTCGATCCTTCTTTCTTCAGCCTGTGGGGTGGGTTGCCAGGTGGCTGCACCAGCTTCTAGTGGTACTGCCCGACAGTTTTCTGTGCCAAGAAGCGTCATGGCCAAGTGAATAGAGCACTAGTGTGGGATGTGAGAGCTGGGTTCTGTTCCCAGCTCTGCTACTGTCATGTTGGATGAGTTGGGGCATGTCACTTCACTTCTGTGTGCCTCCATCTGCAACAGGGGAATAATGAACCTAAGTTCTGCAATCTACACATCAAAGTGCTATGTAAGAGCTGAGTAGGGAGGAGTGAGAAAATCCTGTGTGTGGTCGAAGGCTCCCGGGTACACTTTCCACCATAATGAAGCTCCTACAGTGGTCACAGGATCCTGAAAAGTGCCACCTACTGACCCAGCCCTGCCTATGCAAAGACTGACCTGGCCCAGGCTTCCTAGGCCTGTGAGGTATGGGTAGGGTAGAGCTACCGGCTCTGTTGGGAGGTATTAGGGCAACCGTGAAGCCCTTCCTTGCTCATTCAGGATGTCCTGAGATGAAGGTAGCATTGCCTGGTTGAAGCTCAGATTTGGCTGCCAGGCAAATCTGTTTCTGAAAGCCATGGACTTGGTTTGTACCTTTTCTTGCAGCTGCTGGGCTGTACATCAAGAGCAGTGAAGCACTGAACATCATTGCCAATGCCATCCATGCCAACCAGGACAGTGGAGTCACGGTCTTTCAGAGCACCCAGCTCACCCGAATAGCGAACAACAGCATCTCCTGCAACAGCCTCGGGGGCATCCTTGTGGAAACAGAGTGCAGGGTGGAGCTCCGTGGCAATGGGATATATGACAACAGCAGCCATGGCATCGCCTGCAAGGGGGACGGGGTCATTGTTGAAAATGACATCATAGGCAATCTTGGGTGTGGCCTCAAGTTGTTACAGACAGCGGACATGAAGGTGTGTGTTCAAACCAATGTGGGGGATGGGCTACTCATTTCACAGGGCACGTGTACACGTGGCAGATGTCTGCTTTGATGCATGCGTTGGAGCAGACTCCATTAATCACTTAAGTGCGCTAATTAGCATGCTCCAGCAGCCTCCGTGTTACGTATTTGTCATCCTCGTGCTTCAAAATGGCATTGGGGCACTTTAACTAAAGCTTGTGGAATGAGCTTTAGATAAAGCATCCTCACCACCATTCTGAATACACATGATGCTGAGGGTGCCGTAATTAAAGTGGCTCTTGGAGCTGCTGTAATGAAAGCCCTCCCTCCTCATCTCCACCCCAGAGCACATGTAAACACACCCACAGATGCCAACTGAAGTCATGCCAGAGCAGGGAAAACAGCAAGTGTCCCTCTCACAGGAATGGCCTGAAGTTGGCAGGCTCTTCTGATGTCCCTTGTGACATCACTGAGATAATCCAAGAGAAACTACAGCATTAGACATTTCCCATCCCTTTGGTTGTGATTTATCAAACCTACAGCTGGCGTTGCTCATGCCCAGTATAGATACCAGTTAAGAGACATGCACCTAGGAGATTGTTTCCTGAATCTCTGGGCTGCCATATGGTTGTAATAGTACCATAGATCCCAAACTGCCTCAGAAATAGGATGGCCATCATAGAGGACAGTCTGGTTGTCCTCTGTCCTCTATTGGTACGAAACCCGATGCCTTTATGCCCTCTATTTTTCTCTTGAAGAGAAAAATAGAGGACATATAGGCGTTGGGTTTCATACCAATAGAGGACAGAGTAGCAGAAAACTGGAGTGTCCTCTATGATGGCCACCCTACTCGGAAAGGAAGTCAGGCCTGTTATTCCCATGTGGGAACTGAGGCACAGAACAAGTATGTGGCTCACCAGAGCTCACCTAGCAGACCAGAGGTGAAACTAAGTCTCCTGAGTCCCAGGTCAGTGCTCTGTCTACTAGGCCACACTTAGTAATTAGTAACTCATTTGTCATTCCATTACTGACTTTTACATTAGTGCAAAAACATTTCTGGCTTTCCCCCCTAGGAGCTAGTACTGTGATAATTCCTAGGATGTGACATGCAGTTATTTCTTCAGTAAGAAGCCCTTTTTCCATGAAAGAGCAGTTCCAGTCAATAGTGACTGAGGTGGGCAGCACTTTGCTTGCCTTTGGCAAAGAGCAGCTTCCTTCTCACCTTCCTACTTTCATTAGCTAGTGCAGGGGTCGACAATGTTTTTAAAAATACCCGCAGCCTCACCTTGCAAGATGTTGGTGCACCAGGGCAGACAGCAGGGGAGCTATGAGGGACCCGATCCCTGTGGCAGCGCTGCCCCAGCCCCTTCCCCGCCATCCAACCTGACGCTGAAATGCCAAGCAAAATGTCATCACGTGCTATACTCTGGCACCTGTGCCAGGGGTTGCCTATCCCTGAGCTAGTGTTTCTGCTGCTTTTAGTGTGTCTAGTCCAGGGAGCCACCAGCCCTACCAGAAGCCAAATGCAGCCCAAGGAGCTCTAATATATGGTTAGCACTTGCCTTCACTACATTTATATGCCTGAAGGCAGCTGTAGACCTTAACATGCATTGTTCTGTGTCAGCCTGGACAACCAGGGTACATGGACCACAGTGTAGCATTGTGTGATGAGACTTCCAGCCACTGCAGCCTGTATCATTGTATTAAAGCAGGAGGAGCAGCATTTGTTTTGACATTTTTTTGCAAATTAGATGGAAAGGCCCTGCCAGCTCCTGGACAGTTGCCAATGTTATTTTGAGGATCAAAGTAATCTTCACTCTCATTATTGATGGGATATAGCCATCACACTCTTCAAAAGGCCCCAGAAATAAGGATGCAGCAAGCCTCACAGTTAGGCTATTCAGGTGGTTACTGTCTTGGTTCTACCCATGAGCAAAAAACCCTTTGAAAAACATTCTGATCAGGAAAATAGTTTAAAAAGTTAAATAAGACTTATGAAGACCCCAGTGCCAGGACTCCCCAGCCCCCTGCTCACCCTGAAGAAGCTGGTGAGAATTCAGACAGCAGAGGTCCAGTGGGAGACACTTATGGAAACCCCAGGCCTACTTGCTGCTCCTGTTTCTCATTCATGCACTGGCTGGGATCCTTTACCCATCCAAGAGGAGCCTGAGAACAGGTAAGCAGTTTATCTAGTCATGTGCAAGAAGAGTGACAGCAATGGGAGCTACTGCTCACACGAGTCCTGGGACTGATTTCTGAAGCAGGCAAGGGGTGCTAGGGCACAGACAGGCTTGGGTCTGTTGAGAGTGGTGATGTTTAAACCTACCTTCAAACTGCTTTAATGAACGAGAAGCAACAGTGAGTGTGTGGAAGGAGTGACTGTCTTGTGTAGTGCAGAACTGTTTAGCTGAGGCCTAAGTCTATGCTAGAGCTTTCTTCTGCCATAGCAATGTCAAGGTATTACAACTCCAAATTGATGCAACCAGGCCAGGAAACCCCCTGGTGCAGAAGCAGTTACATCAGCCAAAAAGGGCTCCTACTGGCTTTGGCTCCAGTTGTTTGGGGAGGTGGCTTAACTATACAGGCAGAAAAACTCCCACTGCCGTACTCCATGTCTCCAACAGGGAACACTACTGTCCCAGTTGCACCGCACCTGCACAACTACAGCAACAGGCTCCATAATGTAGACAAGACCAAAAGATTTAAAATAGTGCAGCTTTGCTTAGCTGGACTGGTTCTGTTGGGGCCACTGACCTGTGGTTCATCCACTCATCTAAGCCCCTTTGTCATTTTTACCCAGTCCAGGAAGATGCTTGTGTTTAGGCTTAATGTCAAGTACATGCTTCAGTGCTTTGTTGAATCAGAGCTGCAGATGCTAAACAATCATGAGGATTTTATTTCATGCTGACAAGAGGCCAGAGACAATGTGCCAGAGACAACTGCAGCAGTTAGCTCATTCAAATATGCCCCAAGCCACACAGTCCACCATCGTTGTTCTCTCATTGGGATTTTCTTTTCCTTTTCCCCAGGTAACCAAGAACAGGATCCAGGCATTGCAGGATTATGGGATCTTGATACTTGACCAAACCAAGGGTCTGGTGCAGGATAACCTGATTTACCAAGGAAAGTCCAAAAAAACCATTTTGCAGCAGGTGTCAAATGCAGAAGATTGCATTGTTCAGAACAACAAACTTCTCACCTTCAAGAGAAAGTAAGCCACTGACATAGTGGTTAGAATGAGCCTACAGCCCAGAGCAACCCCTCCCTGTTCTGGGGACCTCCAGAAAACCATGAGCCTGTTTCATTTCCCTATGTCTTATCTTGTTGAGGCAGCTATTTGCAGACACAAAACATCTCAGAGATTGTAGGATCAACTTGCAGCACTAATTGGAGCAAGGAACCTTTGCAAAGAAGTCTGGGTAATGGAAAGAGAGGCAAATCTAATTGGTTCTCTTGCCTGGGAAGCCACCCTCTCCATTGGGGATAGGACAGCCAAATGAGAGGCCTGACATTCTTGTTCCCATGCTAGGAAACCAGGCACTCTTCCACTGGCTCTCCCCAAGAGAAATCTGATCATAGGGAGGGCTAGCACATTGCCAGATATAGGTACTACTTTGTTTTCTGTGGTCTGTGAGTGAGAACTGCAGGGGGGAGATGCACATTTCAGAGCAAGGGTATCTGAGAGTGGTCAAGAAATACAGGGTGGAACTGTTGGTTCCCTGTGGGTGCCATGTTGTGAGCAGGGAGTTCCTTAAATGCTAGGAACAGGTTTCTCCATTGCCAATCCCAGGAGCTGTATCACTTTTGTTACCCTGAATGAGCAAAAATCTCTGGTCACATGAGCAAAAGTATGTGCATTTCTCACCCTGGCAGTTTCCAGGGGTCTGTCTTGAGTATCTGTCTATGACAGCAGTAGCACTACCATGGGATTGCTAGATCAGCTTGACATGCAGGGAATTGTGAGACAAGTCTTGTGTCTGAGAAACCCCAGGACACACTGCCACAGTGGGAAGTGACTGAGAAACTGATGTTAGATGGCTCTCATTCTGATACTTGGGCGAGATATTAGGGAGATGTCCAACACCTCTCCCAACTATACAGTTGATCCAATGAAAGATAACACCAAAAAAAATCGCTTCTCCCATATTTCCTAGACCATCACGGTCATAACACCACTACAGATTCACTTGGAAAGGCTGAGGCTTTTGACAGAGTCCTCCAAAAGGACTCTGGAGTTCCAGATTGCTCTCCTGATCATGATCTGAAACAGGCCAGTTCCAATTAGCCACTGCTCATTATGGTATCCTGTAAGCTTTGGAGAGACATTACAGACTGAGGTATCTGATGGTTTATCTCTGATGGGCTACAGCACAAAGCCCTAAGAGAGATCCAGTACTACAGGTATTTCACTCTGAGCTGCTACTTGTCAGACCAGTGAGCCTGTGTGAATTAGAGTCCTCAGAGGCTAGGTCTGTTGCTTTCCATTGTTTCAAGGCAAAAGAAAACAAGCATTTGGTGGAAGGTGGAAATTTGATGGGATTGGGACTATTCCAGGTATTTGTTCATTAAGATCTCCCAAGGCCAAATCTACACTGCAAGGTTTTGTTGGCAGAGCTCCTTTTGCAAGTATATATAGTGGATCCCCCCTAGGGCTTTTGGCCAGTACAGTTATATTGGGAAGGCCTTTGTAGTATAAATAGAATCTCAGTCAACAGCTACTATTAAACCCTCAGCAGCTTTTATTTCACCCCCGGACAGACCTGTTCTTCCATGTAACAAGTTTAGCCTGGGTTACTGTAGATTGATTCCCTGCCACAGCTTACCTTCCCCCTATGCCATCCCATCCCTGATGCTGGCATGCACCGGTAAGAACTGTCCAAAAATAGCAAACAAAATTGCAAAAACAGTTTTGAATTCACATCCCTCGGCTTCCCTTTTTGTCAAAGTTTGAAACACCACTGAAATCCCAACATTCCTTGCATTTTTGTCTTGCTGCTTAAATGTAACAAAGTACAGATGGTGAAATTTGCATACACTTGATCAGGTAGTTTTCTAAGTTTGTGCTTTAGTTGAAATGAAATGTTTTGACAATTTTTCTCTAGAAATAGTCAAATTCATAAGACAGCTGTCTCTGGGGGGGTGGTAAATGGAGGTCTGCTACTGACTGAACACAGAACTCCTCCATATTTCCTGACTGCATCCCAGGTAATGAACACTTGTGAGATGTTTTTCTGTCCCCGCCAGGTCTGACATTGCATGGACTCTGGAGAACCCTCCAGCACGACCTCACATTGAAGTAACGGCCCGAGGAGTCTCAAGAGCAACAAACAGCCAGCGCGTTACAACCATGACAACTAGGATTGTGGCGAGGGTGGATGGGGGGTGCCACAACAATGGGAGCATCTTCTGTACTATTCTTTGATTCCCATGAGGGTTTTCTCAAGTGTCTTTTTTAGAGACCAGGCCAGGAAGCTTATTCTGTGGGAGGAGGAAGAGGATTTTGCTCTGTGCTCTTCATTTTAACCTCCTTGTTTTTATCACTCAACAATTTGGCTGCTGATGGAGCTCATAGTGCATTCCTATCAGGAACAGCAGGGAGACCTTTCCATCAGCTCTTCTTTTCTATTTGACCCGTGAGATGACGCCTGTGGCAATTGCCAGGCAGATCAGTTGCCCTGGATAAAGCTCAGTAATGCCAATGTGTAGCTGTTTGATGGGTCTGGCCTACTGTCTCCTCAGCAGCCTCATGATGAAGTTTGGAGTAAACTGTTTTTTCCCTCTAAAGAACCGGAACTGTTCCCCAGCACAGAAAGAAAGACTTGATCATGAGGACAAGAATGAAAGCTGTTTGCTGCTTCTTAAAGTCTTGAATTGATTTGAAGCCCGTGGCAATGCAGGACAGAAACCAGACAACAAAAAAGTAGGCAGGATTTTTATTTGACTATTTGTATTTTCTAAATTTAAAAAATACAGTTTGAGACCCTCATATTGCAGAGCTGCTTTGTCAACAGTCACCTGTATTTGTGACAAGAGTGTAAGATTTTAGAAACTGAAGTTGTGTCCTGTGTGATCTGGTTTATCTACAGGGAATAACTGCTTATAACAGTTCTGAATTGTAGCATAAGATTTGTTCTTGGCCTTTCTGATGTACCTATGTCTAGATGTTAGCTGAGTCCTAACACTGGAGATGACCAGATCTGGACTGATGCTAACATGGTAGTGAACAAAGAGGAGCAATCAGAATAAAATTAGGCCCTCTTAATCATTAGGAGTCATCCACTATAGGGAATTGATCACGGTAGTCAGGAAAGTGATTCCATGACTGGTCCCCCTTCAGCCAATATTGCTACCAGCTAGTACAGATGCGACGTTGTCCACCCTATTTTCTAGAATTTCTTGAGATTTCTTAAGTCAATGTATCAATGTCCTGACACAGATGGATCCCAAAGTGCTTTTGCAAGGATGAAATGAGGGCAGATGGTTCAGCTGGTAGATCATAGTGACTAGAAAAAGGGAAACTGGGAAACAAACCATGTCTAGTGCTGTATCTTCAAAGTGAGTGAAAAATCCTCTGCCCTGAGCCTGGGTTCAGATGCAGATTGCCTATATAAAATCCAGGTGTGACATCTGTGTTTGGAAGTCGGTCACCTTCTGTGTGAAGGCCTTGCAGTGTGCCTCCCTGATACTGTTACAATTTAGGAAGAGTAGTGGGGTAGTATGAAACTTTTGCTGCCTGCTGCAGTATGTCAGTTGCAGAGTTTGCTCTTTCATACTTTTTACCTTTCACCAGATCCTCAGCTGATGTGAACTGGGATCAACCCATTGGCTTCACTGGCTTTACACCAGCTGAGGGACTGGGCCCTTCTCTTCAGGGGAGTTCCTGCTGGCTGTTTCTTACCCATCTCGCTTTCTGTCACTCACAGCACATGCCAGACCCTTGGCAGCTACCAAGTGATGTTTCTCTGTTGACATCCCTATGGCCACTGATCAGCTGAGGGTCTGACCCTGGGTTATTTTTTAAAGAAAAACCTTTGATTTGTGTAAGAACTTTTGTAATAAAAAATGTATATGACAAAAATAAACACTATATTTTAAAAGTTGCAGTTTATTCCTCCTTAGTTCCTTTCCAAAAGCCATGCAGGCAGACAAACTTGCATGTTGCCGATGACATTTTCCATGGCTTACAGAAGTGTTTGGATTCTCAAAACTTCATCCCCAGGCTGAAACACTGTCAAGTGGCCTGATTTAAGGAGAGTGGTGGGTGTCCATCCAGGTGTCTACCCAAAACCAGTCTCCCAAAATCATTAGGCCCTTCCAGAAATACAGCCCATGTTACTGATGCCAGCAGGTCTCAGAAAACGTGGACACATAGTAAATAGGAGTGCATCTGCCTCAAAAAACCACATAGGCTTACTTTAATTTTATTTTTCAAGAAAAGATTGCACAAAAAAGCTAACACTAAATTTCCAAAACCATGTATGAAGTGCAGCACTGGTGACTACTCTTAGAAAAACTTCACTGATTCTACAAACAGCAGAAACCAATATGCTTTTCTTAGTTACAGTAATTTAACCAAATGCATTAAAACTCTTTTTCTTTTGGTCATTTGATGCTGACTGAGGGCCTTATTACACAGTAAGTTCAAGTGGCTTCTGAAGCTCTAACCCTGGATTGGCTGTACCTTATCATCGTTTAAGTGGCTTAAAACACTTATTATTCATCTTAAAGTTATGCCACCCCAGGGCAGGATTTTCTCTGGTCCGCCTAATTTTGCTCCTATTCCATTAAGGTGTGGCCATTCCAGACTAGCTATTCTACCTAAGTTGAATATCCCAGGATGCAGTGAGACCTCCTGAGTCAGGGCAAGGATGCTGGGATACAGTGGGGCTGGGGACAGTGCTTCTGCCCGCTGCTTCTGCTGGGCAGAGCCAGAGCCACAGCCCTGGAGCACCCAACAGTTGTGGTGCCTCCCATACTGACTGTGCTTCAAATGCCTGGGCTGGACTCGGGCTGTGATGCCTGCAGGGGGGTGGCAGGCTGGTGTTCACCCCTCCCACTGACCTGCAGTTGAACCTCCACCCAGCCCCCCACTCATCTGCAGCATATCCCCTGCCTGGTGCCTGTGCCCTCAGGACCCAGACACACACCACAGTGGAGCCAGGCGGCTGGAGCAGGGCAGAGCTCGGCAGCTACAGTGCAGCAGGCGGAGACCAGTTCTCACTGACCCTGCGCTCTGCCAGGCTGTGCAGGGTCTGGCCCCTAGCTTACCCCACTTGGCTCACTCAGCAGTGGTAGCAGTTGGCAGACACCTGCAGCCCCGAAGCCCCCCATAGCAGCTGTATGGCTCTGGGCACAGAGTGCTGGGCTCAGCACTGCCCATCTAGGCTGCGGCTGCACAGAGCAAGTGAGGCTGCGCTTGGTCACAGCCACTACTCAAGCCCAGCAGGGGTGGGAAGTCCCATCCCTGCATGCCTCATCCGCCACCCCCCTGGAAGATTCCTGGACCACTGGACCAGACCCTGCATAACCTGGTGGAGCATGGGGTCAGTGGGAACCAGCTTAGGCTGCTGCACTGCAGCCATCAAGCTCTG